CCATGAATGGGTCCAGTATGCTGTAGCGGCGGCATGCATCACCGTCATGACTGCATGGCTGTACAAATTCGAACCGGCAGCAGCAGCACTGGCAGCAACACCCCAGCACCTCAATTAGTATGTCAAGCCCCCTACTGTGCGAGACCTCAAACTCCGAGCTAAAGAACGGGGTTAAAGGATTATTCTTGCATGAGGAAAGCCCAACTGGCCACCTTGCTAGAAGACACCGAGCCGGTCGAGTTGAGATTCATGCCGATGGACCACGCGATGGGTAAGTATCTGAGAGGCTGGAAAATGGTGATCGATTCTAATATCGATATTTATATTTAAAATCAAACCCTTAATCGACAGTAAACTTCACGAAGAATTAAACGATTTGAAAAACATCAAATACCAGTTGACCCTTAAAATGTCGCTTCAAAAACCTGACTCGATCCCTTCGACCCTCGATACGTCATTGCAACACGTACAAGAATCGTTGGAAAAATTTAACCATAGATGCTCCGGATGGGTGGTGGACAAAATCGATACCATCTACCTAGATATAGCGAACAACGACGATCACTGCTTAAGATGGGCACTGAGATCTGCCTTATTCCCCGCCGATTCTAAAGCCTGCGGGTTCGGGTGCGTGGTCGACCGATGCGATGGACAAACGAACGCTCCCGTGATCTACCGAGGTCCCGGCACGGCCGAAACGTTTCTCACGTTCTTATAACGCGAAGAGAGAAACATCAGGGAAGCTTTGTTGGACCCTGCCCCCATGGATATGACGCCAGAGGATAAACTTGCTCACGAAAAGGCTAAGCATTGCTACGTGTGCGACCAAACCCTGAACGGGGATCATTGCCACATCACCGGTCGATACAGAGGTGCCGCCCATAACGTGTGCAACCTCCAGCTTAGAATCAATGATTGGTCTAAGTTCGATGAGCCACGATTACCCCCCATCGACCGATTTTACCGCGGCTTAACTGACTCCACCATCTCCTAGGACGATAACGAACATGCCCAGAACGTGTGGGAGAAACTGGGCTGTAGACATTTGGGCGAATATCACGACCTCTACTTGAAAACGGACGTCCTGCTGCTGGCCGACGTGTTCGAAACATTCAGAACGTGTTTGAAACAGTATCAACTCGACCCTGCCTGGTACTATGTGATGGTCAAACTTGTGCGATCTCACGAGGAAGAAAAACTCAGGAAGATCATAGCCTGCCCGGCGTTCAACCGGAGCAAGCTATTCGATAACGACTTGGCAGCGCTACACATGAACAAAAGCCATATTAAGCTTAACCGACCTGTTTACGTGGGGATGAGCATTCGCGACCTGTCCAAACATTTGATGTACGACTTTTATTACAACCAACTCAAGCCACAGTATGGCGATCGGTGCGAGCTGCTGTACACCGACACCGATTCCTTGTTGTTGAATATACGCACTGAGGACGTTTCCCACTCGATGCGTCGAGACAATTGAATGAACGATAGCGTGTATACATCATGGAGAAGGTTTACTACAGCCCTCGGGGTTACTGGAAAGGTGTGAGCTCCATCCCGAAGCTAGCCAAAGCCGCTCGCGTCTCAGAGGATACCGCCAAAGCTTAGCTTAAAAAACAAGCCATCTGGCAAGTGTACCTGTCGGCTCCCCAATACATCCCGAGAAGAAAGTTTGACATTTCCATACCCAATCATACCCATCAAGCCGACCTCCTGTTTCTCCCGCACGACAGGGTGAGAAACAAAACGTACAAGTACGCCCTGACCGTCGTGGACGTTGCCAGTCACTACGAGGAAGCGGAGCCGTTAACGACCAAAGATTCGAGTCAAGTCGCTAAGGCCTTAGAACGTATCTACAAACGCAGTCGCTTGACCTGGCTGACCGAATTACAAGTCGACCCCGGACACGAGTTCATGGGAACCGTGTCGCAGCTGTTATTGGAGCATAAAGTCCAAGTGATACGAGACGTGGCCGGAGCTCACCGAGGCCAAGCCATCATCGAAAGATTCAACAGGACTTTAGACGAGCGTTTGTTTGGACATCAGTATGCCCAAGAGATGGCCAACCCCGAAAAACGGAATGGGTCGTACGCTAACGCGAGTGGTGTTGACGGTCAACAACGAAGTCACTCGACTCCTCGATAAAAGACCCGTCGAAGCCATTCGAATGAAATCCTTGATGATCAAATCGGCTGCGCCATCGCGTCACGGCCTAGAGAAAAAACTACCGGACCGGGCCATCGTGAGGTATCTGTACCAGCCCGGTGAACTCAAAGGAGGGGATAAACGTTGCGCCACAGACCCCGTATGGTCCATGAAAACGTACCGAATCGACCGAGTCGACATCAAAGACAACAAACCAACTCTGTATTACTTGCAAGACGGACCGGGTAGGGCATTCGTCCGAGAGGAATTACAAATTGTCCCTCACGACACGGTATTACCCCCAAAATAAAAAATATATAAAAAAAATGTTCTGTCTGGGATTTGAACGCTCAAACTCTAGGTCCGAAGTCCAGCACGTTCCCTTCAGACCGGCAGTCTCACTCTGTCAGGGACAGTGCATTCAAGCTATATATAGCTCATACGCTTTGCGAGGTTATGTAACCCGATTCTAAATTAGCCGATTGTGGCTTCTAAACATGTTTTCAGCATCCATCGACACATGCATCGTGATCAGCAGGGTCTAGACTACCTAAGAGCATCGTGATTGTATTTTATTACACCTTGATTCGAGGTGAAAAGCCACCAAACGTGCACGAGGCGAACGAGACTGGTTCTGCGCTACTGTAGCTAGTATAGACGGAGCCCAGCTCAAGATAAATAATGGATTGTGGCCTCTACAATTTTTTTCAGCGTTCGTCGACTAATGTATCGTATTCAGCGTTCTTCAAACTACCTACGGGCATTGTGTTTGTAATTTATGAGACATGGATTCGAGGTGAAAAAGCCATCAAACGTGCACGAAATATTGAAGCAGAAGTGGAATGACGGGTTCCAGACATCCTTTGCGCTACTATAGACGGACCCGGGTTTAAGAGGATGATGCAATCTCAGGATAGACCCGTTAAACCGAAATTAAGCTGTCAAGTCCCCGGTAGCGCGATCGGTTGAGTGGTGCGGGCTTATAATGTATAGTTTGCGCGTCTATACATTATCAGTTCGTATCCCGCCATTGCCTCAGTGGATTCCTTGCAACTTTCGGTGGTTGTGGTGGTGTTTTGGGTAAGGAATCAGGGTCACATCAGTTGGGTCTCTGAAAAGGGCACAGCTGAGCGGGGCACTCTCATGGCGAGAGAAAGACAGCCTACACAATTCTCCTTGGGACAAAATGTGCAACCATCAACCTTTCGATTTCATTCCTTGGGGAATTGCGGCTGCCGGGGACGTTTTGATACCTTTTTAACCTTTCTATCTTGGCACATCGAAGGATGGTTCTCGATATTTTTTTAAGGGGGACTGGGAGGTTTAATTCCCACAAATAAGCCTCTAAGCCGCATCTGCGGTAGTACCCCCCCTCTATTACTACTCAAGTCATCTTATGTCATGATGTGTTTTTCAACCGTTACCAATTTTGTGTACTTTTGATATACTTTCTAAACATGGCAGGCCTGTGGAACTGACTCTCATATAACTGATGACATCTATGGTGTCTTTAATAGGTTCTCACAGAATTTGCCCTGTGGTGACAGGAGTGTGTGCCATGTTCTAATTAGTTTGTAAATATGTAATTCTTTTAATAACAAAAATTTGACAAAAACTAGACTCCATTCAAGATTGCAGCATCCAGTGAGTAATCATGTTCCATGTAATGTTCTGTGTGGTGGCAAGTTGGTAGGGAATGGTTGTTAGAGGTTGAGCCTCTTTACATAGCAGTGATGCTGGACTATGCTTGAATCCCATTCTCTTTGAGGTCTAGACAGTATCTGGAGTCATCAATGAAAATTAGTGGACCCTTGTCCAGATCTGTCCAACTGACATGATATTCAGCCTAGTTCAGACATGTCTGCCTGTGATGTTGGGCCAGTGGGATGCAAATACATACCTTTTGACCAGGGAACAGCTTCATGGAAATCATTATGCACCGAGTAGAACAATACTGGCTTTCTGCAGGTCATTTCTGAGTGTAGTGGAAATAGAAAGGAGCTATCTCAGCTGTATGTGTGGAGGAATGTGTGCACGGCGTGCTTCCAAATGTATAGCATTGAATCCATGTCTTGCTGATCACTTTGGTTCTGACACCAGACATCTGCAATGGACATTATTTTAAGAATTTCTAGTATGCCTTTCCATCAGATAACACAACACCTATAGCACAGGATGGCATTTCTGTACTTCTTTCTTGGTATGTGCAATCACAGCTTTTCAAACAACTGGTGCATATGGGGCTGCATGCCACTGTCCTGTTGAGGGTTACCTAATCATTGTGTACCAGGATATTACAATTCATTCCTTTTGAGTGGATGATTTTTTTATGTCATCAAAACTTCATCCTTAATGTTTAGTATTAGACTCTATTACAGTAAAGGTTTCTATGTTTATAACAAACTGTTTGGGTGTCACTTGCACTCTACTAGATATTTTAGTATAATGAACTATATTTATCACAAACAAAATTACTAGTCCCTACCACAGTATGAATGTATATTATTTTTGTTTGTAATAGTGATTTTTTACCAACTTGTACCTGTGACTATCTGTTAGTAAAACTAACAATAACAAATCATTTTTAGGTGTAGTGTGATATTTGAGCTGGTGTGACCTTTTTGGTCTAAAAGGACAGTCCAGATGAGCTACTTAACCTTGTGGCATTCTATTTGTGGTAGAAATCACTAGTGTTCTGAATATGCATGGTGGACAACAGCACTCTGACTCTATATCTTTTACTTTAAAATAAGCTGACCACACATGATCTCAGGTAACTTGGACTATGCTAATGGTGTCCTTGAATGGGCCTCCTTTGTGTCCTGTGTTTATGTTCCTACATTGTGTACCTGCAGGACCGGGTGGGTGGAGAGAGAGCTGCTGACCACTACCTGGACTGCTACAACCAAGATGGTGACCTGCCCACACAGCCCCAGGAAGACTGGGAACACGAGGCAAGCAAGCTGTATGAGTGGACACAAGAACTCTCATTCAATGATGAGGCAATGGCAACTCCAAGATTGTTACTTACATCATAGCTTCAACTTCACTATCTGCAAAACAATGTTTTTCTGTGTATGGGTTTCAGCTACAAAGAACAATTACTTACACTTACGTTCACTGTTGTAATTATGCATAAAATGGGGTCTTTGCCATTATTCTGTTGTTGTAAAAGAAGTAGCCATTGAAACACCATTGTGGTAAGCCTAAAAGACCTAAGTTTAATACACTGGTATTGTTTCTTTATCATCTTAGTAAGCTCAGTTCACCACTTCCACTAAAGTGTGAGATGAAGTGTACACTGTTGGTCAACAAGATTCATTTGTTCTTTGTACTCAGAAGTAGTCTCACACCAAAAGGTTATGATTGGTTTTGGAGGTTGGGTGGTGTTACAATGTCAATTAGTACATCCAGACACCATATTATATTTTTGAAAACTGTTCTTGATCCTATCTTCAGGATTTTTACCCTGCATATTTGTTCTGATGAGTGTAAAATTGATGTGACACAACCAGGCAATGGATATTTGCTCCTTAATACAATTTGTGTCAACGGTGCATGCTAACATTGCACACTTACCCTGTTTATAATCATGTGGTATCATCCCTAATTTTCAGTGATCCATCCATATAATTTCCACGGCTTTGTTGCCTTTTAACTGCAATGGAATGTCTTACATCAGATAATGAAATTTACGGAAAGAATAAAGATCCAATAAGCAAACTGATACATAATTTAACATACATAATTTGTATTAACAGAACTACAAGTGTTGTCAGTTTACGTTTTGATGAGACATGGTTATAATAATTAGTTAGTTAGTTATTATGTGTTTCTGCGGCCAAGTGGGATATCACACTGACAATTAACTTCTGGCATCCAGCAGCAAGATACTTGTTACTGATTCATAATTAAAGTACTGTCGGAAATAGAAAAAAAACTGTTTTTAGGCTGTTACTCTGTATCCTTAAAATTTACACAATTGCAAATAGCATATATGTCGAAATAACCCACATCGGCCTAACTGGGCGTTCAGTGGGATGTGTAATAGGATATCCAGAAAAGCATGTTTACTCGTAAAATCGGGCAAAACTTAGAAAAAATACGAACAGCTGCTGAAAACAATAGATCAGACTATAGATGGCAATTAGGTCGCTCAGCCAGGTATGACGACGGACCGTCAACTCACTGGGCATGAAATGCACGTGCTGCCCACAGACACAAGGGGTCATCTCAAATATCTTTTATGCTTTTTCATGTGTATTGAACATGTCTCGACTGATTTTCTAATCTTAGCTAATATCTCTATCCCCAAGCCCGAACCCAACTGCCATCGACAACACCCGTCTTGGTTTTGCTTTTGAGACGACCCCTCCTACCTGTTTCTTTTTATAGTGATAGTGAGACTCAATGGTATCTATATCCTTAATAGTTTCTGTATTAAAGTTGTTATTTTTTACGTCTGCTATCGTTTATTATGAAGCTAAGTCTAATTTCAAAATGGACATTCAAAAAGTGTCATTTGTTATACAATATCATCGCACACTAATTTGCATAAAGCCATGGTCTGCTCCAAATAAGTCTCTTCGGACTTTGAAAATAACCGCATTGCTCATTTCTGCACTAATATCTCCTCAGTAAAATCCTTTTTTAACGCTTCCTATCTCCCTACCACTGAGACTGTAGTTAGGCCAAACTTAGTTCAACAGATATTTCACACTTTCACATATTAACTACCTAACTTGTAGATATAAATGTGAAAAAACAGTTTTTTTCTATTTCAGACAGTACTTTAGTCTTAACATTTGAACATTGTTGAAGGTATTTTCATCTCATCTCATCTCATGCGTAAACTGAGATCTTTTAATGTTAACCCATCTGTGATGTCATCTTTTTATGTAGCATATATTCAGTGTATTTTAACATTTTCCTTCCATTGTTGGTACGGGTCTCTCTCAGTTCATCTCAAATCTAAAATAGACAAAATTGTTAACATGGCAAGTAAAGTAAAATCGCTGGAGTCAGATTTGAATGTTTATCATCAGTATATGAGCGGCAAATCGTGAATCAAGCTGTCAAAATCATATCTGACCGTACTCATTACTTAAATTCGGAATACAACCTCCTCCCTTCAGGCCGCCGCTACAAAGTTCCAATTGTGAAAACTAAGAGAGCCCATACATCCTTTATTCCAAGTACCATATATCTCTCTTAAACAAATGTGAAGATACCTAAATCAAAGAATTTATGTAAATATGTTTGGTATCTCTCTAATGTGTCAGTAGCTCTGCTGATGTAACACAAATTCCTGAAAAGGCATTAAAGTATTCTTCTTCTTCTTTTTTTGTAATTCCTAATTTGTGAGATAATAGGTGTACACATGTATCATTATATCTTTTTAAACCTTTAGAATTTTTCGAAATGTTCCTTTGTTGAGAAACTGATTCTGCAGTTTTGGCTCCTGCCACCAACACTTAAAATATGAAAGTTTAAAATTAGGCACAGAATGTCCACAAAATGTTCACTTAGAAATTTCCCCACCTTATATACAAGTATTTACTTAGCATAAAAAAAAATCACATCCAGATACATGTATTATACCAGTACATATTTAAAAATAGTTCTGATGTAGTCAAATGTTTGCAATTATAGGAAGACTAATAAGGTGATACCGACCGATCTGGACCAATTGCTTAATTTACTGATAAGGGTGTTTCATATTTATCCCCCGATATAGTCAATGCCTCGTCTCTCTATCCGTCTGTAATCATTTCGTTTCCAGAGCATCACTCAAAAACTGATTGATATTTTTCAACAAGAATTGGTACATGTATCAAACAGAACCTAAAGTAGGGCCTTTAACTACTCACAGATTCTTGGCATTTTTATTTTTATTGATTTCCATGGAAACGATTTGGACTTAGTCTCAAAAGGGAGGGGGGTGGATTTCATTTCCAGAGCACTGCTCAAAAACCACAAGACACGTTTTATCCAAACTGGGTACATGTATTAACCAAGGGCTGAAGTGGTGCCTTTTGCTATATAAGAATTTAAACAAAATGAATTTGTTTTGTTTCCATGGCAACAGGTTTGACTTTGACTTCGTTCATAGTGGTGTGTTTGTCTGGGCCATATCTCGGAAACTAATAGATATTCTTTCTTGAAACTGTGCATATGTAAAGACCAGGTTGTCAAATGGTGCCTTGTGCTACATGGGTTGTTAAGAATTTATGTTTTGTCTGTTTACATGGCTGCTAGTTTTGATTTTGACTCTGCTCATAGTGTTTGTCAGGACCATATATCGAAGAGTACAAGGCATTATTTGATGAAACTGTGCACAAACTAAACCAGGTTGTCAACTGCTCACTTTTGCTTTTAGGATTTCTCAAATTTGTATTGTTTCTTTTGACTTTAATATTGGTGTGTACCTGACATAGAAGTACAAAGAAGTACCCAATTCCATGTTGTTGTTTGATAGCTTAATGACTACTCTTGTATATGGACGGACAGATAAGACAGAAATTCTCTCATCAAGTTGGACTTTAAGATATAGTTTGGCATGAAATGCATGTGGACCCGTTTTTTTGTAAATATCTCTTCATCCAATGTCCCAATCGATCTCAAACTGTGCAAGTGGATGTTTTCTAAGCTATTAGAAATGCATGGCTTAATTTGGAATGTGAACGACATCAAAACATAACACTTTTGTCTTCATTCTATCTTTTCTTCAATGAGTGTGCATGATTGTGTGTGCTTGTGTCCAGGGAACAGGGCTTTAACAGTTGTTGAGTTCTAACCATAGGTGGTCCGATTAATGATTTAGTGTAAATATACTTTCTGTGTTCTTTAAATGCATTTCCACTTAGGTGCTGCATAAACAAAATATGACATTAACATTACAAATTTAAAGATTTTAACCTACAGAATAATTCTCACTAATGGGTTTTGTGGTTCATGTTGCACAACTCAGAGAAACAAACTCCGTATGATGGTTAACAGTTGGCACCCACATTACCCTATTCACGACCTGTGACACCTCTTCATACCTGTCACGTGCATGAGCTGACCTACATTGACGAACATTGCCCTTGCTGACCCAACACTGCCGCTGTTACAGGTCATTGGCTCCCTCCCTCTGCAAGCCATCTGCGTTCTGCTGTTTATTTTGTTGACAGTTACATAGACAGATTCTTTAATACAAATGCATTAAATCGGTGATTTACAATGTGATTAGGTTGTCTGACAAAACATCCACTTGCACAGTTTGAGATCGATTGGGTCATTGGATGAAGAGATATTTACAAAATAACGGGTCCACATGCATTTCATGCCAAACTATAAGTTGTTCTTTCAAATTTGTGGGGCTTGGGGGATATGTCATCTTCTGATGACTCTTGTATAAAGCATGTTCTATAGTTGATTTTGCATTTAGATCAATGTTTAGTTTTGACCAACAACCCAGACAGATACTCACGTATCAGCTTGTAGTGATTTGTGCAAGTACCATAATTAGGTTATGATGGAAACTTGAAAAACAAAGCCAGTATAACTTGCAGAAACAGTTTAATAGTGACCAGATGATGGATGACTACAGGACAACCATAACAATAGTATTGCACATTCAACACCTTATCACACTGACATTACCAGTAGTAGGTTTCCTCCATTACCGTCTGCAGCATTTGACCATTGTGCAACAAAATAAATACCAATACACTTTGAAATGTTTTTTCTTATCATGCTTGGTATTTAACAGTTTTTATAATTTATTGAATGAATACAACATTTATCACTGACATGCAATAGATTAATGATTTCAATACTGATCCCTGCATTGCACATGTTACAAATGAAAAAGTTTTGTTGCCATAGTAACACATATAAGATCTTCCATCACAGCACTGTAAGAAGTTACTTTCAACAACAACTAACAATATAAGACTTAACTAATACATTTGACATCCGAGCAACTATTCACCTTCCACCAAAACAAAACAAAACCATAGTACCAGAGGTACAAGAGCTCACCTTAACTAGATAATATAGAACTTTGGTGGTGAGCATGTGCTAAACTAGCGCATAGTTCCCATGACTGTATACAATAACACTTCCATTGATATGTGCTCAGCTCAAGTTTGCTGGGGTTCATAGAAACAGGCCCTTTCAGTCTGTTTGTCATGTTATATTCATAAATAAATATTTCAAATATTCAACAATTTTCAATATCATTTTGTACACATCTTGTATGCCCTTGCCAAGGTGCCCTGAATATTTAGAAAAATTGTACTTTTAGATTTTGAGTTTCATGTTTCCATAGCAACAAGTTGATCTGGAGTACAAATGAGGTAGATTCTCACAAGAAGTAAAACAAAAAACTGGTCAACAGTGCTATAAGAAATTTTGAGTGCACATCAGATATCACATATCATGTATCATAAAATCCTTTAGGGATTACAGGGTCCCAAGCAAACTACGACCAGTGGATCTGGTGGTCTGGAATAGTGATCCTGTTGATTTTGTGACATAATACAGCATGGGCAGTACCCACAATATCAATCACTGATTTGTTTGATCCAGACCTATGTATCTATTATTACTAGAATACGGCATGGTGATGTGTTAATGTTAACTACCAATACAATAATTCATGTTTTGACACTATTTTCACTTACGATACTGTGTTTTATGCTTTATCACAATACCTGTGTTCAATATAAAAGTGATTAACACATGTTGATTAAATCCATAAAACCATTCCAAAAATGGCATAGGAAATTTATTAATTTCTGCCATCGATCGTACAAACAATAATGATGAAATACAAAGCTGTTTTCTCAAACGTAGAATAGAATTATTTTCTAAAAGGTTTTCCCAAGTTTTTATAATGAGCACACGGTAGACAAAATTGAACATTATATTAATTGGCCAATCCTATTTCTGACAACTAGTTAGTATATATTTTGAATTTTCATTATAATGAAGGATTTTATTAAGATGCTGTGTA